AAAATCTGTGCATATTAATTACCTAATTTGCATAATTAACCAATTTTAAGCTTTCACACTGATATCTAAAGTACTAATTATTCCATTTCAATGAAACTTAGTACAAAGATGCTTTAGGACAATGTACAAACCTAATTAGTTTGGGGTAAAAATCTGTTCATATTAATTCCCTAATAAGCATAATAATTCATAATTTTTTGGTTCTAATCACATTTCAATTAAACTTGGAAACATAGATTTTCTGTTATATTGCGCAGACCTCATTAGTTTTACACTCAAATCTGTTCATATTAATTTTCTGATTTGCATAATTAGTTTTCAGCTAAGTAATTTCGAATTATATTTAATGTGTCTCCAATACTCTCAGCACATGGGAGTTCTTTCTAAGCTTTCTTTGATTTAATGTGTCTCCAATACTCTCAGCACACGCGAGTTCTTTCTAAGCTTTCTTTGATTTAATGTTTTATGACTTTTTCTGTACATGGTAGGACCAACAAGATGTTTGTCTGATTTATTTTGTAACTGGTATACTGTAAAATACATACAAAATTACCAACATTTTGGCAGGAAAAATAAAAGTGCCCAAAAAATTGAAAATCATGTGCTTGTAGTAGAGATAGCCAATTAATAATAAATTTGGTTGGGTGAATACAATTTAAAATGGCAACAAGTTGATTATTAGATAAATAGAATTGGATATGTATAGTTCAGACTGTGATATCTCTGCTGGTAATGTGATGACATCTTCAGTTTTGTCTGTTATATCTCTGTTACTGATATCATACACAAAAATAACTGTCATCCAAAATGACTAAGTGATACTGATTGAACAATGATGAGTACATAAGAATGTGTACCAGTATCATCATTTCTCATATGTGTAGATGCTCTAATAGAAATGGCATTGTACCATTTTAATAGAAGTGGCAGCTTCTTATAGAGATTTTACAATAATGAATGATGTGATTTTAATTGATATATTTTACATACTTTAACGCATTGCCTACTGTGAATTTTCATCTAGGCTTACAGCAGTTGATGTGTTGAGTAAGCTGAAAAGGAAAAATATTCAAATATTAAAGTCTGTGTGTCTGTCTCATACGTACATACCTATCCATACACTATAGTCTCAGTAAATTCCTGTTTGAATTTTTATCTACCTCTTAAAAGGTTTATTAAGTCCACAAAGTGGTGAAGAATTTACTTTACCTGTGTTATAAATAACACAACGTGACTAATCCTGTGGCTGGCAGACTTTTACCTTAGCTGTGTTATAGCTATCAAGGAGTTATCCAGTCTACATCAATCACACATTGCTCAAAGGATAACTCTTCAAAAGCAATTTGTTGTTGGAAGTAGGACTGTCACTCCATTAACAGTGAAACAACTCTATTGATTGGTGTATATAGGTAATAACAGTGTACAAGTATTTGTATTGAGTTGTTGAATACAATGATAGCCCACCTGTAAAGGCTAGAGTTTCCCTAGTCAGTTCCCTACCTATTAACTACATGTATACTCTTTGAGCACCAGCAACATTTTATCTATTTTCATGTACCGGTATTCTTTTTATAATTCTTTCCATAATTTTGAATCAATTGGACGTTTGTTATAGAACTTTACCAACAATTTTTTAGAAAAAGAAAAACTATCTGTGGGCTTTATTTTGTGATAGGTGAGAAAAGTGGGATTAGACACTGGAAGGGTGAAGGCTACAAACCAACAGATCATCAGATTTGCTGAACATGTACTACATACCAAACTACCGTACTATTTGTTTCCACCTAATTGTAATGATTAATATTTTTTTTTTTATAAAATATGAAAGTAGATTGGGCTCTGGATAAACAAACACAAGTTGACAGAGAGTTTTATGGAATGCAGTGATTTCTCAATTGTTTTAATTATTGAAACTAATTTCTGTTAAATTTTGTTAATTTAAATAATTGCTTTTCAATAAATGTGGTAAAGTTTGTCAAAATGATATGATTGAATATTGTAAAAGTATGACATTCTTGTGCTTAATAACTGATATTTTGTATCAATTTTGTGGAAAAACAGTCAGGTGTGTCTCGGGTAAAAAAACAAACAAATACATATACTTGCAATTTTTGTATGCAAATAAACCTGGAGTTAAATTTGATGTATTTCTTATTGCTGCAAAATGTAATAGTGGCTGTGTCAGTCAATAGAATGCAGTAAATGTTAGCAGCTTTTAGACTGACTGATTGTGATTGAGACGCATAGACTTGATTTAAAGACAATACAGAGTTCTGATTTTATATTTGGTGTGTTAGATGTCTGGCTGCTGTTCACATTTGTTGTTTAATTTTTAATGAATATTTTCTTGATTTTTGTTCAAAATGCTAATTTTGATTTTCTTGATCTTAACACATCACAATCTGACACCATTATATGTCATTTTTATGGGCTATATATGGAAGAGATGTTTTAAAAACTGTTATATGGTATATCTTAAGAGTGAATTTAATTTCTATCTTTTCATACCATTAGAATAGTTCAGGTTCAGCCCCAGACCACCCAATGTGGTACCCATACACAGTTTGTTGTTTACTAGTCAAAGTTAACTTTGTGTTATCCCCACTGCTCAGACACAATAAGAAACATTTGGAATATTTGCTTAGTCTAATTGTATCACTTAATGGGCCATTGAGACCTTTACAAAAGATGCTAGCCCCCTGCCACATAGAAAACTGCCATTATTGTGTCCAACTATGTTTGCTGTTTTACCTGCATTTAGACACGCTGTCTAATAGAAGTATGTCTAGTACCTAGTTGTCTATTAAAGGTCATTTCAGCACTCAGCTGCAGACCTATAGCCACCTTGTCATAAACATACTTTCTTCTGAGTCATAGTATACAATATGTGGTAGGGGTGGCACAATTTAACCTCTGTACAGAAAAGTTCCACACTGTTTGTTTTTGTTGATTGTTTAACTTTAACACGTTACTTGACTGAGGCTCACTTTCACTTTCATGAATAGGTGAGTGTTCTTCCTGCAGCTACAAACAACTCACAATTTGCAATCAGACATGTAGGCCAAAGAAAGGATAGAATCTTGTGTGTTTTAGGAATGTAGGATTACATAAGTGTTGTCCTTGGAAGAGAACAAAACTGTCAATATTGAGTCTACAGTCGTTATATAAAATGATACTGTAAAACATAATATATATTTCCCTCTATTGCTTATAATTGTAAAAACAGCCCTCTAATATGTTATCAGTATTGTTAACATACATGTGTATAGCTATTATATTGCCATGCTTGCTATCCATGATATTCACATCATTCTATGCAATATGAGTGTTGTAATAATACTATGCAATTTCCAGATCTTAAAAAAATCATTCATGACATGCTGTTTTTTGACTCCCAGTGTGTGTGTGTGTGTGTGTGTGTGTGTGTGTGTGTGTGTGTGTGTGTGTGTGTGTGTGTGTGTGTGTGTGTGTGTGTGTGTGTGTGTGTGTGTGTGTGTGTGCGTGTGCGTGTGCGTGTGCGTGTGCGTGTGCGTGTGCGTGTGCGTGTGCGTGTGCGTGTGCGTGTGCGTGTGCGTGCGCGCGCGCGCGCGCGCGCGTGCGCGTGCGCGTGCGCGCGTCTGTTCCACTGCTATCTCAAGAACCATACATCAGTTTTTGATGAAACTTGGTGCATAGATGCTCTGATTTTTGGTTGATGTAGCAGTATGTCTTATGTAGTACTATATGTGTTTTTTTTCTAGGAGGACCCAATGGCAATCAATGAAATTATAGATGATTTAAAAGCTGAATGTGGAAAGTTTGGTGAAGTTAAGAAAGTTTTAATATTTGATGTAAGTATTCTTGTCAAACTTTGCTCAATGCTGTAAGGGTTTGAATACTGAATTGTTAGTTACACAATTACACCATGGTTTTGAATACTGAATTGTTAGTTACAAACACACACAAATACACTATGGTTTTGAATACTGAATTATTAGTTACAAACACACAACTACACCATGGTTTTGAATACCGAATTGTTAGTTACACACTTACACCATAGTTTTGAATACTGAATTGTTATTTACAAACACACAGTTACACCATAGTTTTGAATACTGAATTGTTAGTTACAAACATACAAATACACCATGGTTTTGAATACTGAATTGTTAGTTACACAATTGCACTATGGTTTTGAATACTGAATTGTTAGTTACACAATTACACCATGGTTTTGAATACTGAATTGTTAGTTACACAATTACACCATAGTTTTGAATACTGAATTGTTAGTTACAAACATACAAATACACCATGGTTTTGAATACTGAATTGTTAGTTACACAATTGCACTATGGTTTTGAATACTGAATTGTTAGTTACACAATTACACCATGGTTTTGAATACTGAATTGTTAGTTGCACACTTACACCATGGTTTTGAATACTGAATTGTTAGTTACAAACACACAACTACACCATGGTTTTGAATACTGAATTGTTAGTTACAAACACACAACTACACCATGGTTTTGAATACTGAATTGTTAGTTACAAATACACTATGGTTTTGAATACTGAATTGTTAGCTACAAACACACAATTACACCATGGTTTTGAATACTGAATTGTTAGTTACAAACACACAATTACACCATGGTTTTGAATACTGAATTGTTAGTTACAATTACGCCATAGTTTTGAATACTGGATTGTTAGTTGCACACTTACACCATGGTTTTGAATACTGAATTGTTAGTTACAAACACACAACTACACCATGGTTTTGAATACTGAATTGTTAGTTACAAACACACAACTACACCATGGTTTTGAATACTGAATTGTTAGTTACAAATACACTATGGTTTTGAATACTGAATTGTTAGCTACAAACACACAATTACACCATGGTTTTGAATACTGAATTGTTAGTTACAAACACACAATTACACCATGGTTTTGAATACTGAATTGTTAGTTACAATTACGCCATAGTTTTGAATACTGGATTGTTATTTACAAACACACAGTTACACCATGGTTTTGAATACTGAATTGTTAGTTACAAACACACAGTTACACCATAGTTTTGAATACTGAATTGTTAGTTACAAACATACAATTACACCATGGTTTTGAATACTGAATTGTTAATTACACCATTACACCATGGTTTTGAATACTGAATTGTTAATTACACCATGGTTTTGAATACTGAATTGTTAATTACACCATTACACCATGGTTTTGCATACTGAATTGTTAATTACACCATTACACCATGGTTTTGAATACTGAATTGTTAATTACACCATTACACCATGGTTTTGAATACTGAATTGTTAATTACACCATTACACCATGGTTTTGAATACTGAATTGTTAATTACACCATTACACCATGGTTTTGAATACTGAATTGTTAATTACACTATTACACCATGTTTTTGAATACTGAATTGTTAATTACACCAT